AACATACAAAAAATTAAATTAAAAAAAATTAAATTTATTTATAAAAACAAGTTTTTAGTCACATTTTTTATAGAATAATTTGAAAAAGGAAAACTTTTTGTTTCAGCAATTGATAACATTTTGTTTTTTTTTAGTAGATCGATTCAAGTTTTCAGTTATTATTTTGGAAGCTCTGAAACCTATTGGAATTGGGCAATCGGAGTATTATATATATAGCTCTTTGAGCGTTGCCAAAAGCGATTAGGATTACGTCATCTGAGCTCTGCCGTTGTTGTAAAGTTGAACTTGATTCCATCCAATTAGATTAGATAAATAAATAAATTGATATAACTATGTCCAAAAAATATAAAGAACATATTTCTGGCTGGCTTAAAATTGAGTGCAATAACAGGTGCTTTTATTTCCATTTTTTAATATATTTTTTTATTTTTGTAATAGAGTGGAATAATAGATTTGTGGGGTTCTTTATATTGGAAAACTGTCTTTAAACAATTATAGAATTATTTAAAATGATAATCATAGCAGATAGATGCTTTGATAGATTTTAAATAAAATATTGTGCCAATAGATCAACTTATTAGGCCTAGCCAAAACATACATAAAAGAGCATACAAATTTCGCTAACAAAAGTTAAGGCACAGTATTTGAACATTTAGAAGAGAAGATGGTCATAATTGTAAATTAAAAATTAGGTACTATGATCGTGCGAGAGACAATGAATGGTCATATTTGTGAATAAAAAACTTCTATTTTACTTATATTATTATTCAAAATATGTTCCAATTCTTCTCTTGTCAATGAATTAATTTTGCCATTAATTACAAAAGTCCTTAAATAATAATATAGGTAATACAATAGATTTAAGTAACAAATAAGATAATTTTCTGTAGACTTAACTGGCAAACGAAATAACTGAATTGTCGAGGTTCACAATTTAAAATCATGTCTAGCTTTCCCACAAGCGGATTGAATTATTATTCAACAAATATGCTAAATCAATCTCAACTCTTAGATCTAAAGCGAACGTAGTGAGCATTGTTGAAGTTCGGAACATTTGAAAGCGAATACATACATATGTTTTGGATTAAATTATATGCTAATATACAGTTATTCAATATGGAGTGTCCTGGATTAGAGCGATTCGATTAACTAATAAAACACACAATTTTGAGGCTGCTTAAAACAAATTTAATTGTTTACATACAAGGCAGAGACTTAGGTAATTAATTATCACTTAATTGTTTTAAGACTGCTTTGCTCAAATACCCTTGACTGAAAAAATCATAATCAAGTTTTAGTATTTTACAATTTATTTATATTTTGAATGATGTTTTGCATGCCAAAATGGAAAGCGAAACGCTTAACATAAAGAGAAAAACCCCAGAATTATTTGAAACTTGCTGATGTCGGGTTTTTGGATGTGTTGTGTATTGGGACAAATGAATGTAAGTGTGTAAAATGCAGACTCCGATTTGTGCATGAATTGTCGCAATTGTGTGGCGGTGTGGCTGGCAAGACTGTGTCTGCCTCTGCTCCTTTGCGAGCTCAATAATCAAAATTGAAGGATGCATTTCGACCACCACTGAATTGGAAGAACGAACGAAACATTTGATTTGGATCGAAGTCAGCTGTAAAACATATAAATTTTGCATTAATAAAGCGTAACGAGTTTCGAATATCATTAATATTTCTAACCTTGTTCTTGCTCCTCGATGTCGTGTCCACTGTCATAACGATTTTTCTTGCGAGCATCGGAAAGGATTGCGTAGGCCTCGCCGATTTCTTTGAATTTGAGCTCCTCGTCTTTACGATTTTCGACACTGCTGCCCGCATGCCTGTCCGGATGATGGACCAGGGCCTTCTTGCGATAAGCCTTCTTAATCTCATCCTCAGTCGCAGTGCGTGATACGCCCAATATCTTGTAATAATCCTTTCGCTTGGACTTCTTCAACGCAAACTTGGCATCGCGCAGTAAACGCTTTATCTCCGGTGTCTTTTCCAACTGTAGAGCTGTCTCATAATCGGCTACCGCCTCCTCAAACTTCTCGAGATCATTGTGGCAGCGGGCGCGCAGCAACAGCGCCTTCAAATACTGCGCGTTGAGTTCCAGCACGCGATTACAGTCAAGAATAGCTTCACGTAGTGAGCCGATGCGCGTATTGACAAGCGCACGATTGTAAAGTAGCTTAGAGTTAATATCCTTATTGTGCTCGTCAATTTTCAGTGCGTCGGTGTAAACGACATGTGCCTCGCGATAGCGTCCCGACTTGAACAATATATTTCCATTTTCCTTCATCTCCTTGAGCTGCTTGCATTTGCTGCGCATGCGCTTCGACTTCTGGTGATCGGGGTCCAGTTGCAGTGCGCGCTCAAAGTGCAGTATACCCTTCTCCAGATTGTCCGTATAGTAAAGGCATAGACCACGAACATAAATGGCATCAGCGGAAGTGCTGTCCAGTTTCATGACGCCAACGGCGATATCCAAGGCCTCATCGCAACGTCCCAAATAGGCCAGACACTCGGCCTTCAGCAAGCGGTATCTGTCAATTGGTAATTGAGTTAATCAAACTAATATTGATCACAGGGATTGCAAATACTCACCGAAGACAGGCTGGCGCTATCTTTAGAGCGCTGTCCAAATAGAAGACTACATTCCGATAGGCTTGTGTGTCGTAATTGTTCTGTACAGTGGTCTCCAATTGGCGCAGCTTCTGCACGGACTGCTGCTCGCTAGTGAGAGCCGAGCTCTGCGGCTCCAATTCCAGGACAGTCTTAATTGCCTGCTCGGTGCCAATGATGTCGCCCAGTGCCAAGCAGCACTTGGCCACACGCACGTAAGCCTTCTCGAAACTGGGATCCAGACGAATCGCATGACGGGCATCCGTAAGGGCGCTGTTATAGTTGAGCAACATCATATAACAGGCGGCACGATTGCCATAATAGGCAGCCGAATCTGGACATAGCGAAATGGCATCCGAGTACAACTTCAGAGCATTCTGATAGTTCTGTGCCTTGTATTGGTCGTTGCCCAGTTTCTTTTTCTCCTCGGCAATACTGCAAAAGTGGAGAAGAGAAGTAAGTAAATGAATTGCCAGGTTGCCGGGAGGTTTAATGTGGTGTGTATATGCCGTATATGCAAACCAGAGGTCAATGTGCTGCTCGCCTCGCATTTTAATTTCAAGAGACTTGAATAAATAGAACAAGCACAATGTCCGTCAGTTGTATGTTATTAATAGCAAAAGAAATTCAGCACTTTTCTTGTGGAAACCGAGTTGGTTTTCTTCTATTTTCCTTTTCTTTTTTGCAAACGTAGTCATTTGCCATAGAGCGCACAGCTCTAGTGCTTTCATTTAAAATAGATTTGAATATTGCATGCGCATAGGGCAGGCGCAGGCAGACTTTTCTAGTCAATATTTACATCGAATAATTGCGCGAGATGGCAATAGACAAACGAGCTGACACGAACGCGAATTGTTTCGAATTTCCCTATTGATCAACAAATAAAACTGAATTTTCCCAAAGTGAATCCAGAGTTTATTTTTCAGCATTCTAGTTTAATTCAATCACGCGCATCTCTCATGGCTGCCCTGTAAAACATGGAAAATCAAATCGTAGAAAACCTGATTGAGCATCCGCTGGATATATGAACGAGGATTCATATTGGCTGAAGTGCCCAGAGCTCTTTGCATAGGTAAAACAAAGAGCAAGAAAAGAGAAAACATGAGTCTATTCTCGCTGTAATACTCGACGAAGTACGATCTCAGAGTCAAGGCCTTATCGTCCAGTGTATTAGTGCAGAGCGAGGAGAGTTCCAATATCAAACGTTCCATTTCATATTTCGAGCATATTTGGACATATAAATAGTGAAGTCGAGAGTGCTTCCACGGCTCAGTAAGAAATCGGGTGCCGAGCAGCAAGGTGCTTCTTTATCCTGACTGCAACTTTGATACCAATTTCTTTGAAGCTGTTGCAAACTCTAAAAGCGTCAACTAAAAAGCCAATATGTCTGTGCTGCAGAGTAGCATGAGTAAATTAACTCAACGTGCTTTATGCATTTGTGGAGCTGCATAATACCTGCTGCTGACTGCTAATTCCACACGGGGTACGGTGCCACCACCTCAGGGCTTTGGCTGCATACTGAGTGCACTGTAATATAGCTGTTCCTAAGCACGGCATCTGTTTTGCTGACGTCTTTCTATTAAGGTTAAACTAAAGAACAAGACTAGAGATTCTAAGCAATGTACAATACAAAAAGGTTTGTAATCGACAGCAATTGGAACTAAATGAAATGGTAAAGGAAGCAGTCATAAATATATATATA